AGTTTGGGAGGAATAGAATAATATAATTGTACAAGACTAGACAAGAACGACTCGCTCGACACGAAAATTTTAGTTTATTATTTGTTTATTTACAAACATTCAAATACCTCTGACTGCAAGCAATCGAGTAAAGACTAGACAAGAACAAACCCGCGCGACACGAAAAGTTTAGTGTATTATACAAACGTTGAGACCGCTACACAACGGCCTTTGTTTCGAGATTTGAGCATGAAAGCAAGGCAAAAGCAGCTTTCTTAGCTACGTTTTTTTTTGTCCGCTGATCGGTTAAAAAATGTATTTCATTTTTATTTTATCACTGAAAAACAACTACTGTAAAATGTTTAGCCCATAAATATGATGTGTGTGAAGAAAACATTAAACAATATGTTAATTTGGACCTTCAAAAAGCAGTTAAAATGAAATGGCTATGAAATTTTTTTGGGGGGGGGGGCTAAAGCCTGTTTATCCCCCCCTCTAAATCCGCCCCTGGAAATGATCATCTTAATATGTTGTAATTTTATTATGTTGCTTGCAGTTTATATTGTTGTGGTGGGTGTGTGTGTGTATGGTTGGTGGGGGAAGCAGTGGAATGCCTGTATAATCAGAATATCGCTTAGTGACAGTTTTGGGGACTGCTGATTGATTGATTGATTGATTGATTGATTGATTGATTGATTGATTGATTGATTGATTGATTGATTGATTGATTGATTGATTAACTAACTATTGACTAGTTGACTGACTGACCGACTGACTACCGATTTTATTTATTTACTTATTGACAGGTTGATTGACCGATTCATTATTTGATTGATTGGTGACTCAATGATTGTTGGGTTGATACATGATTGGTTGGTTTATGGTTGGGTGGCTTGTTAATTAGTTTAATGACTGAATTTTTGATTAATTTAAATATTTACTGACCGACTATCAACATTGCTGACTGACGGAAAGACAAATCAATCAACTAATTGATTGGTCTAATGATGTGTGTTTTTTTTTTGTGTGTTTGTTTTTTGTTTTTTTTGTGTTATCGAATAGCATATTTATGTAGTTGCTAGCTACTCACAATGTGGTATTATGTGTAGAATCGTCATCAAAATCCAGACATTTATTGAACCATAGGGATTTTAATTGGAATGCGAGCACTCTAGTAAATGACCAAAACTTACTCCAAAACTTGCTCCCAAAATTACTACACGTCAACTTCATATAACATTTTATAACCTGAACAATTATTTCAAATTCTAAGATATACCTTCTTTTTTTTTTCTTTTTTTTTTTTTATTTCAGAACACCTTAAACCCCGGCCGACAACCCAACAACTGACAACCAAACAGCCGACAAAGTCACCAACCCAACAGCCGACAACTTCACCTGTCATAGGGTGTCGGTCAACTCCGTGTCAAAATGGCGGTACGTGTATAAGTATTCCATCCGTGTTAATCCCTGGTCTATCTACGTGTGTGTGCAAGTCTGGTTTTATGGGGAAGCAATGTCGCCAAAGTAAGTAAAATGATTCCATATCCTACGTTTTCTAAAGCCGGGATAAAACACTGCACCGACGATCGTCGGCTGCGCGATCATGGTGAATAGAAAAACACAACGAGGTACGTGCGCGTAACGGATCCTTTTTAATAATGACTGCCACTCACAAGCAGCTTACGGTGCTGCTTAGTCATGTGCTCACAGAGAGCGGAGACGGGTTCGTACGACCGTCGGCCGACGCATTGTGCCGGTTGTATGCAGTAGTAGTGCCCCCTAACAAAAATATACTCTCCCTTAGTGGCCCTCACAAAAAAAAAAATATCACGCTCAAGTATTTAAAGATCACCTCAAATCACCTTATTTTAGTGAACTAGCGCCCCTAATCTAATCATTGATCTCCACTTCACTTCGCTTCCCCATCATCCCCTTCCCATTTCAAGACTCCAGATACGCTGGTTGTATTTCCCGATGATTGTACAGATTACTTTTGCCATACCAGGGGTTCAGTAATGAGATAATTGTAGCCTCCTTTCAGTTTCATTGTAAACTTTAACAACCAATACGTTGCCTCTAAACTCATGCTCCGGAGAAGAAAAAAGAAGTTGATATGTTTTATAACTTTATAATAAAAAATCTGTACCTCATTAACCATTCACAAGTTCCTCAAATACCCTTTTTGCGTCTTAAAAATAATCAGTTTTACAGCATGTCAATTTGTTTTCCTTCGGAGCATGGCTTTATAAAAAAATAAAATTAAATTAAATTAAAAGGTTGATGCTTGCATTATTATTTTGGCGGTATCTGTTCATGTATATAGGCCTACTTAAGATAGGGCCTAATTAATTTCCCCCTATACCCGATTGCTATAAAATCTAAGTAAAAATACTTATACTGTGTACCTACTGTGTATACGTATTTTTCCAAGGTGATACACCAGCGTGCTACAGTACCCCATGTTTGAATGATGGCGTGTGTGTTTCTGATGGAGAAGGTGGATATACATGTAAATGCGCCGAAGGCTTCTCAGGAATAAACTGCGGTATGTAGGCCTATTCATTTTAATAACGTGGTCGATTAATTACTGTTGTAATAAAAAGTATCGTTATATAAAGATTTATATCACAATTTTTTTTGTAACAAATCAGCACAAACCAACTTGTTGTTTTTGTTAATCGTGTATCTGCCAAATGTACTGGTCAAGTTAAGGTAAACATGGAAGAACAAATGTAACGCACAGCGTAATTGTGCAGAATTGCGTAGGGCGTGATCGGCTAATTGTAGCAGCCGTTGAAAGATGCTCATTTTTATGTTCACATCGTTCCACAATGATAGGGAGTGAAATAATAATTGGCCTAATGATAATAATAAAGGATAATGATGATGATGATGATTTATGATGTTGATGACGATAATGGTATTGTTGTGGTTAATACTTTGATTGAAAGAAAACAATTTTTCACACCAATTAACAAATTCTTTTAGACCTTAGATGGCCTGGAAATCGAATTAAGGAATTTGTAGTAACAGACTGTATTGTTATACAGTCTGTGATATACAAATAAGCACTACCATATTTGATGTTACTAAAATGTACAACAAGTACAACAATACAAAAGATTATAATACTCAACAGTGTAAATCAAGCTGTTGTCTAATTTAATACTACTCAAGTCAATCCAGATATAGAAGAACAAAAAATTTAAGAAATTGGTACATTGCCAATGGCCACTAACATCATTCAGAATACACACTAACATTTAGCAGACAGGCTTATCATAATATTTCAAATATATAACCCATTATTTCGAAGATATTACCGGTACATCTATTTTAATGGAATTAAGATAGTTACATTGTCGAGATTTTCTCCATGGTTACAGCAGAAATACAACAAAGATATATTCAACTGCATACAAAAAAGCTCCAAAATGGTTAAATCTTTTAACTTTTAGTGCATTTACAGTAAAGCATATGAATTATCATGGTAGATATATAAAGGCTTCACATGCTGACATAGCTTGTCGTCACAGTATGAACAGTGTTGATGCAAAATGGACACACAAATAGAGTCATCATCTATGGAAACACAAACCTTTGACGAGTTGTCCACTGGAATGAAGATTCTTGCTGTATTTCAAAGCATTGTGTTAAGTGTGACAGCATTTATTGGCTTCATTGGCAATGCCTTAACAATCCTTGTAGTTCTGAGAACTCCAAATTTACGAAGAGGTTACAACTATTTCCTCATAAATCTTGCGATTGCGGATCTTATAATCAACGTACTGAATTATCCGTTCGCTGCCGCCTGTCTTTCTTACAGAGAATGGACGTTACCAGACATTATCTGCACAGTTCTTGGTCTTTTAATGATCTTAAGCTGTACTGTATCCGTTGGAAACTTAGTTGCTATAGCAATAAATCGCTATATAGCGATCGTAAGATGGAATATATATCAAATGGTGTTTAGAGGAAGACGATCAGTTATCTGGTGTACAGTTATCTGGTGTGTGGGCATATTGACTATACTTCCACCGTTCTTGGGTTTCGGCAAGTTTGGGTTCAATGAGGCAATATTAGCATGCGTCGTCATACATGATGGAGATGGTAGAAAATACTTGCTCATTTTTCTTGTCTGCTACTTTATGATCGCATCGAGTATCATCTGTTTTTGCTCCATTAGAATATACATCACCGTACGTAATATTCGCCTAAATATTGCGAGGCACATCCAAAATGATGTCAATCGATTAAACAATGAAATCAAAGTTGTAAAGATACTTGCTGCTGTTTTCATATTTTTTGTGGCTTGCTGGGGACCTCTTCTGATACTGATTATTGTGGACAGACATCTAACTGAACCAAATATTCTCTGGCAATTGTCAGCTTTCATGGCTATTCTTAATTCCAGTATCAATCCAATCCTCTATGCTTGGAGAAGCAATGAATTTCGTAATGCCTACAGGATATTGTTCAGGAGGCGACAGCCGAACTACAATGCAGTGCCGGGAGGCATAAACCTTCAGCCAATGCAAAGAGTTTCTGAAGATGCCGATGACGACGACCAGCATGGGCGTTGACCGGTGGGGGACACGTCTCCCCACTTTTCAAAGTAGGGGGACATCAGATCATTTGCCCTTCCCCCCACCTTTAAAAAAATCTTCTATAGTTAAAACTCCACTTTTCAAAGCGAGTGGAAAGAACAACAATTACGCATGACTGTCATGAATTTTTTATTTTATTTTATTTTTTTTTTGTTCACTGTGCTCTTTTCCAAGTGCGGTGCATATTTCCGGACCATGGAAAACGGAGTAAAAACGCAATTGTTTGTACATTTCGTAACCATCTCAGTAATAATTGATTTTATAGGTGCAACTTTTATCAGAGGCTAAATTTATTGTAAAAACATTGTACGTTGTTAAAATTGGAAGCGTGTAAACCTATTAGGCCAATATTCTTACAAACTCAAAAGTGCACAATTTCTACTATAAACGATTTATTCCTTTTGTATATTATTATGACTCGTATATACTACTACTATCTGCATACGTAGATTTCTGTTTTTCCTAATTTCAAAAAAATATAGTTAGCCAATTGATTTTCCGTTATATAGCCGTTATTAAACAATAATTATTCATCAGCCTTTGACACGATTTCGATTTATTTAAGTAGTGATACCAGAACTTTATAAACCCCGATGTTACGTTGACGCATTGACGTCATATTAATCAGTGGCGTATTCAAGTGGGGCTGGAGCCGACACGGTCCCCCACTAAATTTTAAAAATTATTTTTAAAAAAGGGAAAATTATAATTAGAATTTAGGTCTGAGAGTACCATCTCCGGGAAGATAACTAATCGTTATTTTTATGAATGTTAGTTTCCACATAATGAACGGGCATGATTATGATTACCAGGATAATTTGAAAAAATTATGATGAGTACTGTATTTCAGTGGCAGATTCAAGGGGGTCCAGTGGAGAAAAAAGAAAATTACATTCAAGTTAGTCTGAGATTTCCGGCCCACTAGAGGTGCTATAATCATAAATATTCTTTCCTCAGTCCCAACCATGGTGAGACTGAAGTGGTCTACACTCTCCCTCTGTAAAAGTGTAAAAGTCCATCCCTGGCCCCCTCTATATCAATTTCTTGGATCCGCCACTGTATTTTGAAAATATAGTGTGGAAATAATAGTTAACTGCATCCTTTAAATCATTATACGACTTACAAAAAGCCTATAGGTACCAGAGCTTCCAGAGGGCTTTGCGCCCTAAACCCCCACCGAGGCCCACAACCAAGGTTGGGACCTACGACCCAAGGCTTTCTCATTATTGCATTTCGCCCACCCCCACTATCAACCACGGTTCGACGCCCTTGACGACTAGTGAATAAGTTTAACCAACCATAAAGCTCTGTCCACACTATTATCAAATTTTCTTTGACAAAAAACTGTTGTACAGTATTCCCATCATGACATGCCTCAAGCTGGTTTTCCACTAGGCGAATTCATTCGCGCGAATCGAAAATTTTAGCCTATACGCATGTGCAGTTAAATTTTCATCACGAGATTCTCAAATGCGCAGGCGTATAGGTACAAATTTGCGATTCGCGTGAATGAATTCGCCTAGTGGAAAACCGACTTAAATATCAGGGGCGGATTTAGGGGGACGGATTTAGGGGGGGCCGGCCCGGCCCCGGTCCCCCCCCCCCTTTTTGGAAGGTAAAAAAAAGAAAAAAAAGGGAAAAAAAGAGAGAAAAGGAAAAAAATGATAGCCCAGAATGCCTCAAATGTTATGTTCGTGCGTCTAGAACACAAAAAGTTCGCGGGGGCATGCCCCGGACCCCCTACAACAGTGTTGTCTCAATCGGCCCAACTTTCGGCCCCACTTCCGCCCCCACCCCTTTTAGACATTTCTGGATCCGCCCCTGAATATCGCATGATGTGATTTCATAAAACCATATTTAGGCATGTTTTGTCAAATCAAATTTGATAGTCCTACACATAGTTGTGTCTGTAGTGGCGTAACGGGGGCGAAGCCACAGGGCCCCAGTTCAAAGTGGCCCCGGAGTGTGTGAAAATAAAAGTTGATTCTTGGTTTATAGTCAACAATATAGGAATAATGATATTCTTTAACCATACTGACATTGCCTTTAATACAGTCTGTTCAGCCTTGATATTCATAATGTTCTTAGGTCAGCGAATACTTTACTGAAACTGATGGGCCCAAGGCGTTTTCCCCCGGACCCCACTGTCGATCTCCTGAGTCGTCAGACATTATCTCGAGTGATTTTAGTATTAGTCAGACATGTCTGCCCCCTCTTTCCACAGGCACGAGTCGTAGTCCTAGTGTAAAAGCACTAGCCTAAAATTCATCGCAGTGCGCGGATATTTCTACAAAAGTTGAGTTGGTCTTTTGCACACGAACCTAAGCCAAGTGTGCACTATAGGAAAAATATTGCACTGTAGGGATAGGCAAATAATATTGGGAGTTGCAGTGATGACGTCATGGTTGTCTTATAAAAACAATAAGAAACGATAAAAAATTGCAAAGTGTTAAGTATTTACACAGTTCACCATCAAAAACGCCCGTTAAAAGTTTAGTGAGGATATGTTGTAAAAATAGATAAGACGATAGCTTAAGAGATAAAATAGAGGTTAGGTAGGTCTTTTTAACGGTGTGTTGACCTTGATATCCAATCATTACCAGGTAGTTGTAGAATTAAATTTAGCTTTGTTATGCCTGTCTATTTTCAACTCTTGGACATTTTAGATTTGTTCATGATTGTCATCGTTTATCTGAATGAATAACTATTCTATAATATTTTGTTTTGTATGTTGTTTGATTGCCAAGAAAGACGCGTTTCAATTGTTGTTATTAGACAATAAGTATTCTTGAATCATGGGTTTTGAAGTACTGTAAATATGTTTTTCTTTAAATAGGCCCTATATAAATCGTCTTAACACACGTCACTCTACATTACAAACAAAACCGACGAAGCAAGTAAAGTACTGATGAGAAGAGGAACAAATTATATTTAATTTAAACTTATATATATATATTTAATTATATCAAGTGAGTCTCACTCATTTTCTCCCTTTTTCAGGGTTTTCTCTTTTTTATCTCTCTCATTTTTTCTGTAAAGACAATTCTGAAAACATGTATATCTCAATATGTTTTGATATATGCTATATTTAAACCTTTTTTTTAATTTTAATTTTGTTTTTATTTATAAAATATACGGACTCAATATCAGTAATTGTACCGTACGAGTAACAGTAACATAGTACATTGTACCGTAATGATTGGCCAATAAAAGGGCATTATTATTGTTTTTAGTACGATGATATATTCTGCCCATACAACTGTAAAATAGTAAATTATTATTTATTTTAAACTTTATGAACAGGCAGGATTTCCAAAAGGTGGCAGTTTATGAAGTAATTTTGGCTTATTATTTAATTATTATTATTATTATTATTATTATTATTATTATTATTATTATTATTATTATTATTATTATTATTTTATTATTATTATTCAATATTTCACACGGAGTCTCCTCACAAGGCACAGTCTTAGCATCGAGGAGGCCTAGTGGTTATAGTTCACACATTTCCATCCAAGATTTTAAATAATCCATAATCACCAAGCGCAGTATAAATGCTTGGGTGGTATGTGAACAATCTTCCATATGAAATCCGTGCATTAACATCGGCCAACAGTTTCAAATGTTATTTTTTTTTATTTTTTATTATTATTATTATTATTATTATTATTATTATTATTATTATTATTATTATTATTATTATTATTATTATTATTATTATTATTATTATTATTATTATTATTATTATTATTATTATTATTATAATAATATGTGTCGGCTACTCAGTTTATTTTCGGACATGCATAAAATTACAATATGTCTTTACCCCTATGTTAAAAGTGCCCTTGACGGAGAGTTTGGATGAAATATATTTTGACAGCCCACTTAGTGGACCACTTACTAACATAATGGTAAAACTAATTTTATTTAAAATATATATATGCCTATTTTATGGATGGCATTAAAGTAATTTGAAGCCACTTAAGAAGTGTGCACTCTACCCAATTGTAAAAACCACAATAACATATATACGTAAATGCTTATAAATATAAATAGGCCTATATATACATACTTAAGACATATTTAAAACACCGATACATTCAAAAGAATAAGCATTAATAAGATTAAATGTTAAAAAGACCAGTAAGAAAGCGTTAACACGTTTAAGTTAAATGACAACGTTACGGTACTCACTTATATTTTTGTCAAACCTACTTTAAAATGATGTATACGACAATATTAACTTACAGAAATATAATTATCGACTACAAGATAACTAGTACTCTCGCCTAAGTTTTTTTTAAAACAAAGATTACATTTTGCCCTCCCTCTAGAGACCCCTAATCCCGAGACCACTATAATTCGTGACCACTTTTCATTACCAACAATCTTGCTAACCCTGAGTCCAACCCACACTTTCAGGCTCTAAAGCGGTTTAGATGTAAAACAGTATGTCTCTCACTTATTTAACCATTCAATGATAACAGCGAATTGTTTTTTTTTTACACTTTTCAACTCGTTCAACATTAGAAAAACATAGATTTCTTCATCAAATTCATACACTACGGTGTATCATTATGAAAAATGGCTTTTAAAAAAATTATTATAATTATATTATTATATTAAATATTATTTTAATTAATTACTATAGATTTTAATTAATTGCGCATTTACACTGTTTAAGAATCATTAACTAAAAAGGTTACTTTTGAAGAACTTATTCAAGTTTATAATGATGTCAATGCTTTGTATAAAATGATATTACTTACTTGCTTCCGTTATAAATCATATAACAATAAGATATTACATGTTTATTTTGTGTACTTTCTTATGATTTATATGTTTTCTTTTTTAAAGGTGTTTCTATGCCATGCAAAAGTTCACCTTGTCTTAACAACGGTACTTGCACCCCTGACAACAACGGAGGTTTCACTTGTCGCTGTACCGACTACTTTACTGGAACACTCTGTGATGAAAGTAAATGCCAATACAATTACAATGCTATCAACAATGACGTAATACATGTAGTAGAAGGTTAACAACTTTAAATAGAATGACGATAATGTTGCTTGCGAAAACGTAAATCTTAGGCCTATATGTTTTAATTTTCACACACACCTTTCGATTCTGTCTGATGGCAGGAATGACTGTTTGAGTCAGAGTGAACCCGCCGGGCACACGCTGCGTCAGCTGACGGTCGTATCCCTCTCCGCTCCCTGTGAGCGCTTGACGACGCGACGCCCGTCTGCTGATTGTTGGTGGCAGTCTGATTGGATTGGTCTGTAAAACTGGTATTTTATACCTCCATGGTAAAATGACCCGTTGCTTGCGCCGCACCACGTGACATTTTGTGCAATCGCCCGGCTGACGACCGCCGAAGCAGTTTGTGCCAGCTAAAGTATACATTTCTTGATATTTTGGCAATGACACTGTTGTGAATAAAGTCTATTACTGCACAAGTTTAAGGTTATTTTCTTAAATTCACAGGAGTTATTGGACCTTGTGAAAATAGGAATCCCTGCTTGAACGGTGGCACATGCGAAGAAGTGAATGCCAAACTTTATAGATGTACTTGTTCACCAAATTTCAATGGCTTCCACTGCCAATTTTGTGAGTTTAAATTTCTGTCGATACTATTGTACGCGTGATCAGAACGGTCAGAAGTCTGGGGCTACTTGTTAAGTAATAATAAGTAGGTGGGGAAGGAAAACATTTTCAAACGTGTAATGAAAACTTCTGGCTCAAGTACGAAAAGATGTATTCTAAAAGTGACGTTTTATGTTGTTTTCAGCTGAAGAATATCAACCATCATTCTCGTCTTCTGACGACAATGATGTTGAGATATGTCTATTGGAGTGCGGTGAACATGGCATTTGCCGAGGGGGTCCATTTAACCGAGAGATGTTTTGTGAATGTGATGAAGGTTATACCGGCATTCTCTGCGAATTTGGTAAGAAGTAACATAATTTATTGTATTTATTTACTTATTCGGTTATTTATAGCACCATTATTAGATTTATTGTTCATCAAAGGCTGTATTTCAGTTTATATTATCAACATTTATATATATATACATATATACACATATATATTATATATTATATATATTATATTATATATATATATATACATACATACATAATTATATATATATATATATATGTATATATGTATATATATATATGTATATATATATATATAATCCCACCTAGCCTAGCCTATTGTTTCTAATCATGCTTGCATGAAATTCTGTCTTTATACTATCTGGCTTTTTCAACCCTCACTCACTCGCCACTGAGGAAGGACTAGTGTTGTCCGAAAGCTCTGGTTCTATTTCTGGCTGTTTACTTACGTTTAAAATGCTATATAAAAAAAGCAAAGGACATACCTCGTGCTCAAAATGCTATAAAAAAAAGCAAAGGACATACCTCGTGCTCAAACACTGACGTACAAACCACGTCAACGATCGACCAGAGTGCCACTGGTCACAACCTATCACCCTAGGTTACCACCACTAAGGGCTATAATTCAGACAGGTCCTGGAGAAAGCTCTTCGTCATCGATCGTTACATTAGCATGTCTGTCTTCTCCTTGTGTGTTTGGGACGTGCTTAGACGAAGAGAACGGATCCTTCAAGTGTCTGTGTGCAACTGGTTACACTGGTATCCTATGTAACGTGGAAATTAGTGAGTACTAACTATGTGCTACTAATACAGTGCTGTACTGGTTAATATTATTAAGCGTAGCATTTGAAAATGAAATATTCTTTTAAGGAAAGTTTGGATGGTGGAGTAACCATAATATTAATGATTGCGGTCCATGATGAACTAATATTTTCAAATGTCTTTAATAAAAGTTTAATTTAGACCAGCTTAAATGCCTGTTTATACTTCAACGATAACGATAACGATAAAAAAGCTAAAAAGCGATTGTTAATATAGAAAACAAAAGAAATAAGAGAAGTTTTTGCACTAGGACGATTCGATAACGATTTATCGTGTATACGATAACAAAATATTTTAACAAATCAAATCAGGTGACGTCATAATCATGGAAAGATGATAAAATCGTTAAGATTAATTACAGACATTAAATAAATAAGTTTACCTTTATTTAGCTATTTTTGATGACTTGGAGGCTTCCAACTCTTTTCCATCCATATTGATGTCCTTAATAAATTCTTATGAAATGCTACAGACACGTGAAATACTTTTTACTTGTGATGTCAACATTTATATTAGACGATAAGATGCAAGAGCCAACGCTTTTCTTTATTTCATAGTAACCGAGTCGTCATCATCAGCATCGGAGCCTGATTTAGGCCCTTGTGTAGTAAACCCTTGTCAGAACGGAGGCGACTGCCTTGTCGAAACCCAGGGTGACGAATCTGTTAGCTCAGCTGAGACATATCGATGTGTATGCCAAAAAGGATTCATAGGCGATACATGCGATTACACAGGTTGGTTACTTTCACTACAGAGGCTAGACTAGAGTCCACTCACTAATACCAATGTCATTCCGTAACACGATTTATACCCAGGTCACTAATTCTTAATTTTAGTGCAGGTATTGGAGTATGTGTTACTAATACAGTACTGTACTAGTCACTATTATTAAGCGTATATGAGTATTTGAAAGTGAAATATCTTTTAAGGAAAGTTAACATGGTGAAGTAACCATAATAAATGATTGCGGTCCATAGTGAACTAATATTTTCATATATCTTTAATAAAAGTTTAATTTAGACCAGCTTTAGACTACTATTTCACAGTCATAAAAACATACGTGTTGATATTGTATTCTACAACAATTATTGTAACAAATTAGATTTATTGTTTAAAAGATATTATATATAGAGATATAGGCCTATATTTCAGTAATTATCAACATTTGTTTCAGTTTTGTTTAAATAAAAAATGTTTAAATATAATTGATATTTTCTTCAAGAAACAGGTCCTGAAGAAAGCTCTTCGTCATCGATCGTTACATTAGCATGTCTATCTTCTCCGTGTGTGTTTGGGACGTGCTTAGACGAAGAGAACGGATCCTTCAAGTGTCTGTGTACAACTGGTTACACTGGTATCCTATGTAACATGGAAATTAGTGAGTACTAATCGGTACATAGCATCATTATTGAAACTGCCTATGCTCGTGTTATGAGGTACGGTAGTTGCAGCGACGGCATCAACCAATTTTGATTATTTTCTCTTTCAAAGCCAATGGACCTTTCCGGAGAGTCAATAATACTGACCAATCAGAACATCGCTAAGTACACGCGATTGTTCCCACAAAGACACGTGTCCCACAAACGCACGTAGGCCTACGTTTGCCCCATGTTTTTTGTGGGACCTTAGCAAATATCCGGGGCGGGGCTTAGCGGAAAGGTCCATGGTGACGAATCTGTTAGCTCAACTGAGACATAACGATGCTTATGTCAAAAAGATTGATAGGAGGTACATGCGATGGCCCAGGTAGGTTACCGTAAAACCTCGCATTGAAGCCCAGTGGGCTTAATCTCGAGATGAACCCCATCTGGAATTGAAGCCCCCCTCTTTAGTTTGCAAAATTAGCCTCAAAAAGAAGCCCATCTCGAAAAGAAGCCATTGGGCTTCTTTTCAAAATAGGATAGGCTTCTTTTCGAGATAGTACAGTACATACACTGTGCATGAATTTCAAAAAACAAAATAAATTAAAAACAAGCTTGGTTTATACATTAGTTTAAATGAACAAGGCAATGAACAATCTCGCTCCAGAATACATCACCGAACTCCTGACTCCTTACACGCAAACACGCTCTCTCCGATCCGCTTCTAAGAATCTTCTAAAAGTTCCGAAAAGCACTACCATCACATACCGGGCATTCACCTCTGCAGCGCCTACCTTATGGAATGCACTTCCAGATGAAATCAGGAACGCCGACTCACTTCAGCTTTTTAAAACACAACTCAAAACTCACCTCTTCACTGAAAGTTTTGCTGAATTTCTTTAACACACATTTTACCACTTTTTCGTTTTTTTCCCTTCTTTTAACTGCTTAGCTAGACACCGCCATCACTTGAGCACCTGTGAGTCATGCATCGGCGGGCTTTACACCTTAAATTGCCGATAAACGGTGCGGTGTTGGTTTGGTTCGTTTAGGCGTTTTCTTTTTTCTTTGTTAGTCTAGGTTCATGTTTTTTTTTATTCTCTTGTCCGTTTCCTTCCGTTGTTGTGAAGCGCCTCGAGGTTGGTCTAACGGGAGGCGCTATACAAATCGCAAATTATTATTATTATTATTATTAGTTTAGGTGATTTAATGCCAGTTAAATACACTCCATAATACAGATTGATGTTACATTGACTTTATGTATTGTTTAATTCTACATATTCACAAAATTTACAGCATTAATTTTGAAAAGAAGCCGACTCTTTACTTTGCAAAAGTAGTCTCAAAAAGAAGCCCATCTCGAAAAGAAGCCCATCAAGGTTTGCAAAAAAACAAAAAACAAAAAAGTTTTACGGTACCTTCACTATAATGGTTAGAGTGGAATCGTGTCCCTGATAATAGTCATTTTGTAAAACTTCTAATTTGAACAATGGTCTCTATTCTTTTGTTTGGATTTTAGAGTGGGTTAGAATTAGAGCAGGCCGTGTTAATAAAATTGTAGTACTGGGTCATTATTATCAAGCATTTAAGCATTTGAAAATGAAATACTGTTGTAAGTTTGCATGGCGAAGTAACCATACTAAATGCTTGCGGTTAAAAACGAGATTATTATTTTTTTTTTAGAAAAGAAAGATGTTGTTTATGTTGAAGTATCTCGACGTTTTGATTGAGTTGTTTCGATTGTCATCAAGAAAAGTATAAGACATAATAATATCTTATATTATTTTTCTGATGACGATCGAAACAACTCAATCGAAACTATCTTGTGTTGGAACGCAAGAATTTTTTATCATTTGAAATTAATAACCTACCACGCTTTCTGTGCAGGGAATATAATAATGCTTATAGTAACTGTACAAACTGATAGTGTTGACCGGTTTTTGTATGGAACGCCAAAAGGGCAACATTAAACACAGCAAATTTTCAAGCACACTCGGGTTTCAGGCACAGTTGGTTAACACAGTCAGTTTTTTACTTTAGCTGCTTCTGACCAAAATGTATTTTATTGTATGCCTACCTATTGCAAATAATATATATTTTTTATTTTAATGCAAACAAAAACAGAAACTTTTTTTCCAAAATGATGGAAATAAATACAGTAAAATATTTCCCCACACCAATAAACGCTATTTCTGTTTCATATAATTTTAATGGTTTCAAAGTATTTTATGTTATGAACAATTATATGAAACTGCTATATAAACCTGCAGTACCTAAACGCAATGCTAATTGTCGAAGTCTATGAAGCATGCTTTAAAAGCCAAAACATGATCTTACCACTGCATTTCTGACATTACTTAACAAAAGAAATAACTGATCTGAACATGCAGCATGCAACCTATCTTATTTTAGTGGCCATTGTTCTTTATATATATTGAGACTAATCGTGACGTTCACATAATGGAGGCTATTGTCTGTCTGGACGTTATCGTCCTCCTTCGACCATCATCAGTTCATCAGTGACATTCGCTACATCATCGTAAATATCAATATAGTGCTCCTTCCTTTAGAGCTTGGTATTTGAAGTCAATTCCCAACCCATTGGGTAAATACATATCAGACGAAAGTCATTATTTTAGATTGAATTGTTAAGATGGGTTACTATTACAACATGGGTGACAAATAGGGTAACATGGGTGACAAATAGGGTAACATACTTCAATCAGAGATTTTACGGCACATAAATATAATCATTATCTATACAGTTACTGCCACGGCATCAATATAATTAAGACCTGTAAGTAATCTATTCGGTCTACTTATACCTTTGAAAATTAAATATCCATAACTGTCCATCCCATTATCGTTGCGATGTAGCTTGCACTGACATCTAAACATGACAAATGATCTCTATAATATAGGCTTCTACTTGCCTATGAAATCATTGGGTGGGGTAATATAAATATTAGGTCTGTCACAATCATTCACTTTATCTACTCTAAATTCCTAACAATAATGAGGCAATAGAAAAGGATGAGAATGAAATGAAAAAAAAAAGTAAAAAAGGATCTTTATCAATATTATTAAATAAATTAATATTCACCTCCCCCACCCCGTCTATTCCGTCTTCCATCTGTTGTCTCCCATTCCTTCTTTTCACTTCTCTTTGGTGTGCAATTTTTCCTGTCCCCCGTCTAATTCTCCTATTCCTAATCCAGATATAATTTATTTTCTAAGTCCAATCTTGGTTTTACAGATTCAGAACCATGCACACCAAACCCCTGTTTGAATGGAGGAACATGTATTGATTGGAAAGGCGACGAACCATCTTTCAGCAGCGATGGATCTTCAGATTTTTTATCGTATCATTGCAGCTGCCCTCTTGGATTCAAGGGAGAAAATTGTGAAATTGAGACAACAGGTGGGTTGAAAGTTAAGTGATAGAGATTTGTGGTTAATTAGATCCTTTTCTGGGTTCTGGCTTCAAATCCATGAAGAAGTGACGAAAATCAGAATAAAAATACAATTTAAACTTCGTACGATAACGGAAATTAACCCATAAAAATGTTAATTTTTCATTATTATTTACAATCATTATTATTTATTATGACACTATTTTTTAAAATGAAATCATTATTGTCATTGTTATTGTTGTTGTTATTGTTATTTTAATTCTGTTTTTAGTGTTTGCGTTAGTGTAGGTGTCAGTTTTTTAAAAATAAAATCTGACCATCGAATTGGCTATGATGAGCCAACAAAGTTAATGACTTACGATAAGTAATCGAGCAGGAAATGTACTGTCGTTTAATGGCACTCAGCTGTGAAATGAATATACGGGATATTCGCCTTTTTTTTAATAATACAAATTAATATTGAAAAAAAGTCGATCGTGTTCAGTGTCTCCAGATTTTTCGTCATCAAGCTCCGCTAACGATCCTTGCACCAAAGACCCTTGCCTCAATGGAGGATTATGTTCGACCTTACTGACGACTACATCTGATGACAGCAGCTCCTTTGATGAAGAGAGTTTCAGCTTCGAAGAGGATTACATATGTAATTGTCCATCGGGCTTTGCTGGTATTAACTGTGAAACGATACAAACCAGTTAGTACCTTTTCCGACACTTTTAATTAAAATGACTTACGATTAGAATGTACTGTAATGATTAGGGCTAATAAAGTTTTCAATATTCAATGAATATTGTTACTGAAGTCTCTGAAAACGACAGCGTTAACATATGGAAACTTGTTTGTTTGTGGAACATGCACGTATTCCTTGAACTGTTTTGGTATTTAAATTGGTGAGATTCATTGACACTTCAAAATGGTCCATTATATATTTATATATTTTGTTATTGTTTTTATAAGATTAAAAACACTTCTGAATGAAAAATTCATACAGTTAAATGAGGGGAAAAAATAAATGGGTAATTTATCTTTCATTTTAATGATATTGTTAGGATGATAATATTAACATTTTAGTCCTGAAGCTAAGCAGACCAATATTGAGGAACATTCCGACCGCCTCTTTTACCACTCTTTGGATCCGCCACTTAACAAATTTTCTCTGATACAAGTTTTTTCATACTATATTTACATAAGAGAGGCCAACAACTTTCTGGATAGGCCTACAACGTAAGTACTTACCAACTCAACACAGTTATGTAGTAGTGTCAATACTAATAGGCCTTTTTCACGAATCGGTAGGCCTAGACATCATGAAGTGATGACAAACATTGCGAATCAGCGGTGCGTAACCAACAGAAATAAGAAAAATTTTAGGCTGATTTTCTGACATCATGTTATTAAAAAAATCGTAACTCCATAACTGGGCATTGTATCCAAAACATTTTTTTAAACTCTGTCTAGTTCTTAGATACTAAATATTATCTGATCGCCATTCATTTTATATTCAGTTGAGCAGAAAATCATGCAATTAGGTTTTTTTTGTTTTTTTTTTTTGTTTTTTGTTTTTGTAAATTTCAATGGTTTACCCTCTAAAGCGGAATTCACTAATCTCAAACAGGAATAGAATATATATGTACTTGCCCAAATAGGGAGAACATTGTTAAGAAACTGTATAAAGCAGGACACTCACTGCGTCGTACCACCGTCGCACGACGAATCCATATCTGCTTCCCGCGAGCGATAGATGACGAGACGTCGTCTGCTGATTGTCTGTGGCAGTCTGAACGGATTCTCGTGTGCGTTTGTCGTAGCGTCGCCGTCGCGCGTTTGTCGTAGCGTCGCCGTCGCGCACAGTGAGTACCCACCTTAAGAAATGATTGTACTATCTGGTATTATTAAAACATCTATAGTATTTTTTATTGAACTTACAGCCATCTCGACAACCTCGCAACCGATACCTGTAACGTCTGCTACAGAACCTCTTGCAGAATTTAATCCCAATATATATGGTATAAAGGGATCTTTTAGTCGTCAAGAGGATGGTTTTCTTGTCATCAATGGTTTTAGCTATTACTTTATTCTAAAAGGTAATCTCAACGCAGAAAAGGTTATATTTTCCTGTTATCATGACCTTTATTATTATTATTATTATTATTATTATTATTATTATTATTATTATTATTATTATTATTATTATTATTATTATTATTATTATTTAATATTATTATTATTATTATTTAATATTATTATTACTATTATTATTATTATTATTATATTATTATCATTATATATTATTATTACTATTATTATTATTATTATTATTATATTATTATCATTATTACTATTATTAACACTACTATTATTACACTGATATTATTATTATTGATATTATTATCGTTACTTTTGTTGCCGTCGTTGTTGGTTTTGCTATTTATATAGTTGTTTCTATATTGCTTGCTATTGTTATTATTGATATATATGCACGTTTTTGAGTAAATTTAACAAAACCCCAAAAAAAAATAAATAAATAAATAAATAAAATAAAAAAATAAACGATAGGACTATGAATAATAATTATGTGAGATTTGTATATTTCTTACATCTCACTGTAGGTATTATAGATGTATATTTTGTGGCGGGTAATGAAAACATACCAACTGCAGATGGAGATATTTTAGCATACTATTCTAAAGGGTAAGTACGATGTATTGGTAAGTAATACCGCCCTGTAGGTAGGCCCTGGCTGCATGGCAATAGGCCTACTAACAATTCGAAATATAGTGCCAATTCTAAGACCAAAATTTAACACTCATAGGCTAGGCCTACATTCATTCTGAGGTCAGTATTTGCTAATAAAAAGCAGTGAACTAACCTTATAAAAATACCTTCCTTAATATATCATATTCTGATAGATTAGTAAACTTAAATCCCCTTTTTTATTCAATCGATTACTTTATTTTTACATTATGTTTGGTCATGAAGTGTCTTCACATGGGGATCCATATAGAGCAGCGGCCATATTGCCAGTGGCGGCTCTAGGATATATTTTCTGGGGGCTAAGTTGTCTGACAGAGGGACTTAAGCTCGTGGGCTCGAGCTGGGAGAAGGGGTTAAGAGGGGTCCCCCTCCCAAATGAGATTTTTAAAAAAAAGAATATCAACCTATAATTGGCCGAAAATGGCACTCTCAGACTGTGACAGACATGTGTTTGCTTGGTGTGGGCCTATTTTTATATGTTTTATGGTCTGAATGCCCGACGAGCTCTGTCCGGCGGGGGGGGGGAGGCTTGACCTGTCCGGTGGGGCTTAAGTCCCCCTGCCACCCTGCTGGCGCCGCCACGGCATATTACTACAGCCTCGTCACAGGAATCTTGATCAACTGAAATTTATTCATAATCGGGCAAGAACAGATAGTTTTTTACACTCTACTTTTATTCACGTTCCTCGTGTGTGGGATAACTTACATGTTGACATACAAAATGAGGGTGTTTAGGAATCTTAGGAATCACCTTTACAGCTAGCCTTAAATGATTTAATCATTTTGTGTCTTTAATATTTATTTATTATAATTATTATTGTTTTGTTATTATTTTTATTATTATTAATTATAATTATTATTATTATTATTATTATTATTATTATTATTATTATTACTATTAATATTACTTTGCAATGTAATCGTAATTGTATTTTTATTGTAGACACATGTTCGTTAGGATCAGGCCCGTAGCGTGACTTAACTTGTGGGAGGTTTGTTTCAGTGAAAAGTGGACCCTTATCTTCGATACTCTGGAGAACATTGTAAATACATCTACTAATATAAATTTTTCGTTTTTAAATGCGGACCTTCTCCATTTTTTGTGCGGTTCGTCGTAACCCCCTTAACCCCTATCTCCCCACGCTACGGGCCTGAGGATTTCCCACGAAAGTGATGTTTTTCGCTATTGATTTTCTGGGGCGAGCACGTGTCTTTTCCTCTGTTCATGTTATCTCTTTTTTGTTCTGATTTTTTTTTTCTATTGTAATAACAACATTATTTTATGGTATTAAGTTCTACTGTATACATTTTATCAATGTTAGAATAAATGTTCTTTTTAGGGAATTTGTAAATAATAGTCTCGACCGAACGTTCAATAATGAGATGGTGATTGTTAAAGAGCCAAACTATGAGGTCACTTGGATTGCAGTAGCCTCGCCATCAGCTGATGTAAGAATGAACAATCGATACGGTATACTAGGCCTAATAGTAAATCAAGATTTGATTTGGATTAGAAGTTTGGAATTCGATAGCTCACTTGATGATGATGATGATGATGATGATGATGATGATGATTATGATGATGATGATAATGATAATGGATAGCCTATCCTTCATTAACAATTTTAAATATTCTCACCACAAGATTTTGATATATACCAGTACCTCGTAGCTCTTATTTAGAATGTAGACTACCGTAATGTATGTGAGTGTCCACTATAAATGTTGGTCTTACTGTTTACAGATACTGTTCCCTTGATTTTTGCGGTCAAAAAGTGCCCGCTAAACAGTGGTGCCTCCAAAATGGGATTGTCCCAAAGGAGGGGTATTTAAAAAAAAATTCAAATCAAGGTATCTCACATAATCTTTAACAAATTCTTCTGCAGATTATTCTCAGCGTTGCCTTCTTTCCAGTTGATGGTATGTTCATGTAATATTATTGTTTCCCTATTTTTTCATTGGTGGATCATGCAGGTCAGGGGGCATGGTTCAAACCTTCCTCTGGTTGTAGGGACATCTTAACAATTAAAGAATTGTCCAATTATGTAAACTATGCCTAAGTGCTTCTCTATGTATATAAGTAACATTCAATTAAAAATTAAAACAAGAAAATATATTTTTCTCGCCTATATTCTCGAATATATCATATATTCTTCTATTACTGAAATTGGTTGTTCATCTTTTTAAGCATATTTAATATTTAACGTATCGTAGTAACACAATCAGCAAAAACTTAATTGTTTGAATAATGTCTGAATGCGAGTTTATAATTTAGGCCTACATATTGCAAATAAGCTTTTTTTTATTTCCCGGATTTTTGCGCCCAGTATACCATTAACTGCAAACAATAAAAAATCAAATAGGTCTATATTCGTTAACATAGATATCCGAGCTGTGCACACATCCACTGTGCATTCTATTCTCAAAACCCTCGAACCACCTGTAAACTATATCATTATGCATCCTAACAGTCAAATTGATAATATAGTCATAAAGGCCAAAAGTATGCAGGCCTAGTCCAAACACATTAATTTATATTCTTGCTATTTATATAATATTTTAGTTGAAACGTTCAATTCAGAGGGTGGAAGTGTTCTTGATGAAGCTTGTGATAAACTGTGCCAAAATGGTGGAGTTTGTTCGATTGGAGTTGAAGAGGCAATGTGCATTTGCTTACCGGGATATGATGGTGTAAACTGTAAGTAAATTGTCTAATATTTCGAATCCTTTAATAATAATACTAATAATAATAATAGGCCGAATAATAATAGAAACAAGAAAAATAACGAAAACTATAATGATCACGTGGCGTTGACGATAACGACGGCGATGATGATGATAGTTATAATGATAATTATGATGATAGCCTAGTGATGATGATGATAATGACAGTGATAGTAAAATTGATAGTGACAGTGTTAATGTTAGTGGTAATTATGATGATATTGATAATGATAGGCCTAATGGAACTTAAAACTGTAATGTGTGGTCAAACAACCCTGTTTTTTCGGAATTTACTGATAACTAAGAGAATGATAAGCACATTTCAATCTAGTAATTATTTCAAATTGCATAATCTCTCATTTCTAACATTCAAGGTGAGATAGATTTTAATCCATGCAACCCATCCCCCTGTAATAATGGAGGGGTATGTACTGTACTCACTTACCCAGAACCATCCTCAAAGAAATTCAAATGTGTTTGTAAAAGAAGATTTACTGGAGAGCGATGTGAAAGTCATGATTTTTTAAACACAATATTTAGTTTTCGAATCCCAAACTTTGGAACAGCCTACCTAACTTTTTAATTAAATCTCCATCGATGAATCTATAAAAAGTATCTAATATGTACATGCACTCATGAATTCTAAAACCAAATATAGTTTAATTTTTTATCCCTGGTCAAATATATTTAGAAATATTTTATAATGGTTTTCATTTTATGTAAGTTTAAATGGTTAACATCATATCTGTACAATATATTTTCTTTTTGATTCATGCAGCCCTTCACATGCTTTTACATGCTTTTTTGGTTTTCACCTCTCTTCCAACATTAATATTTTTCTTTTACTTTAAAAGCTGTACAAAAATGAAAAGAGAAATAAATGTTACGTTGAGTTGTGAAAACTGTACTGTATGGTCGAACAACTCCTATTTTTTCGGAATTCACTAGTAGAATGATAAGCACATTTAAATCTAGTAATTACATTCTAATTGCATAATCTGTCATTTCTGATATTCAAGGTGAGATAGACCTGAACCCATGCAACCCATCCCCCTGTAAGAATGGAGGGGTGTGTGTTGTACTCAGTGAACCAGAACCATCTTCAAAGAAATTCAAATGTGTTTGTGAAAGAGGATTTATTGGAGAGCGCTGTGAAGGTCAGTGAATACACAGGTCTCCCTCCAATTAAAGACCACTTTTGGACTTTAGCTGCTTTGGTCTCTAATTAGAATAATAAGAATAAAAGACATTTGTTAATTTGGGACAACAGAAAAGTGGTCTTTAATTAGAGGTGGTCTTTACTATATTACAAAAATAAAGAAGATATAATGTTGATAATGAACTTCCGAAACAGAGGATGATGATAAAAGTGGCAGGCCTATTAACGACAGTGATGATAACAATTATTATTAATCAATTTAATTAATGTAATTAAATATTCTATATTTGCCAGGTTTTTAATATCCAGATTCTGAAATTATATCTTTATGATTTTGTAGAGTAACACAAGACACTTGGCATACCTGCCAGGCCGACATCACTTTGGTAAACTAAAGATATGCTACCGTACTTCATGTCCATGCAGTCTTCAAAAGTATCATCAAGTTGTACCAACGTACTAGTTTGTGTGCAATGTTTTTTTTTTTTCAAGTCAACTGCTCATAATGATATAGTGAAACAACAAAGCTCAGCCACACGGCAGTGTCGATCCAACATAATAATATCACTTGTGTATTATTCCAAATTTATAACGTCTGTGGTAAAATACAGTATAGAGAGAAAAATCGAGAATTGCTCATATAGAAGAATAAAATAACAGATCAAAGCAATTTACTGATCTAGGCCTACCCACTTTTTACTAACTAAACACATTTTTAACTGTGTTATTTATGTATCTGTTAATTTTAGAGCAAATATTTTCTCATTCTAATTTTCAATTAAAAATTCATTTTCAATTAAAAACTAATAACCTAAGTATTAAACAATAGTGCAGTAAATATATAAAGTACCGTATTCTATGCAAATGTTGAAACATATTTTTTTGAGACGTCCTGATATAATTTGGATAAATATACGTTGTATGATACACTACTTCGTTTATTTGTGGATGTACTGTATTACGGCTACAAAAAAAAAGAAAGAAAAAAAAGAGTTAATGTAGCTGTTGGCCATAGAGTAGGCTTTTAAAGCTTGGTTTCCATAAAAGCGCTACACTGTCGCTACAGTGTTTTCAATGCAGAATTTGTACTGCGTAGCAGTCACCGACGCAATCGAAAAGGTTTGAGCGACCCAATCAGCATCAAGAAAGCTGTCGGCGATAGCCTGTAGAGGTATGGAAACCAAGCTTAATAATATAATAACGCAAAAACAAATAAAAATAAATTACTCAGTGAAGACACGTTAGTGTTCGATTTACATCTGATACGGTTTATATCTGATATATCAGATACAATTTTATTTATCTTTCAATTCGTAGTTATTAAATTCTTTTGAAACGTATTCTTTTAATTTTCCTTCTGAGTGTGTTTCAATAATCTGAGCCTGAGTTGTGTTTGCGGGTGTGGATGGGATGGGGTGATTTTGAGTGAATAAAAGCAAGCCATGAATAACGAAGGAATGAAGAGTAACGAATACGTTTGCTGTCACGGAAAAGTTTACGAATCATAATTACAGTTGAAAGCTTATAAAAGATAACATTTTAAAGTGTACATGTATGAGAAAATTGCAAAACCTTATTATAAATTAAATATAATAATTAAACTCCATTAAACTCACCAACAACAGTACGCCTCAAATTTAAAATTAAAGTATGTTTGGAGGTAAGATGTTAAAACTTATAGCAAAAATATTATGCTATAAAAGCTTTTAAGAAAGTAGGTATATAGTAGAAGTGGAACTATGACTTCGATAAGATGATTGCATGGTCCTCACATGAAAATGGAACGTACAGATATATGTTTTACAATTTTCAAAAATGATAGGCTTTTATACAAGAAAATCAGTATTCAACAGAATACAGATTTAGTATAGAAGATGTTTGATTTTTTCAAATACAGGTTTTGTATGCCTGTCAACAGAGTCATAAGAGATCCCCTCACCCTTAATGTGATATACACACACAATTCTACTATGACTTAATCCCCATATGTGTGATATCACATTAAATAAAATGTGATTTGCATACTTATTTTTAAACTGTATTGTTTTTTCTAATTCTTGAAACAATTCTTGACATAAGAATCAAAATGGTGATGCTGTTTTATACACGCTTAATATTTTACAAAAGTAATAACACTCAGCTCTTTTTATTTAATCTTGCATAATAATCTTTATCTGCATTATATAGACCCAAGAAGCTATCTTTACGGCTGCTAGGTAGTCACGGACCACGCCCATACGCAATTCAGCACAATGACGCTGCAAGTTATGGGTTATTCTCCTGCCTTTCACCAAACATTTGCTTAAATCTTCTTAAAACTTCAAATAAATGTTCTATAACAATAATTTAAAAAGAAACCATGGATCTTCTAGTTTTGAAGCATAAAACTGACATATTATATACAAATATTTTATAAAATTAAGTGAACTTTAAAAATAGTTATTACCAAGTGTACAGGCAACAGAACTAATAGTTTTTTAAGCTATAAAATGTGCATAAAATAGTAAAGCTAAATCTTTTATATTATCAATGGACGGATAATGCTTAACAATTAAAAAACTTTGATACAACAACTTCTTTCTGTATTTAAAATTAAATTAGTTTACATAATGAACAATATATTCAACAGTCTGTTTCTTAACACATGTTTTTAAAAATTTGCTTTCACCCCCAACAAGACCTCGGAAGCCACTTTAATAGAGCCTGATTTCCATAAAATCGCTGCACGCTGACATTAATTTGTCGGCGACGCTGATTGGTCAGTCGAATTGGGGAGCTTTCCTGATTACCTCGGGAACACCGACAGTGAGTGACTTTGGAAACCAGACTTGAAGAATTACATTTTATTTGTACTTATGTCATATTATAACATGCTTTAAACTAGGACTAAAAACATAGCGTGAAAAACTTCACAGCCTGTTAACAAAGCAAGAGTAATGTGCTCTTCTGTCTTCTTTGTTTTTCCCCTATTACCTTATAGTTGACATTATTAATTTTTCGGTAGCACACATCGGACTCCGGCAATACGCTATACAATTGCACAACAATTGGGCGCACATCACAGTATTAAGCATTTACACAAACTGACTACAGTATATCAAGTGTTGCAGCATCAGATTGGATATAATGTGAAGACGCGAGCCAATCTGACAAGGCAGAGCAATATAAGATAACTTGTTTTTACAAACTGTACAATGTCAACTACATTGTAAACAAATAGGCCTATAGGCTGTTAGTTATAAAGCTAGCAAACCCAATGAATAACATGATTAATGAAAAATGCATCTTTAAATAATATACACTAATTGTGCAATGAAATCAACCAGGACCAATCGGAATTTGCAGATCAGTTGGTTACACCTATGACCTTTCATTATCGAACCTTAATCTATTCTCCGAGATACTTTGTTTTGTAATGAGTTACTGACAGTACTGTAAAAATTAGTGTTGATTACTTCATTCAGGTGGTGTTACGTCTTCTGGGTGTTTTATCGGATAGTCGTCTAATAAAAAAACGGAAATATAATAGTTAGAATACAGGAACTTAATGGG